TAAATTAAATTGTATTTAATAAGAAAATATATTTCTAGCTAGCCAATATTCATCTGTTTTTATTTTCTAAAAACAAACAATTGGTAACTAGAGCCCTTTATTCTCAAGGGACCTCTAGAATGGAAGGAGAGTCAACTTCCTTTCCAATAGCACTTCCCATCTTTAATGGGGAAGACTATGATATGTAGGCTGTAAAAATGTAATCCTATCTAGAGGAACTAGATTTATAGGAAGTTGTGGAAGATGATTACTCTTTTCAACCGCTGTCGGAGAATCCTGCTATGGCTCAAATCAAAAATCACAAGGCAAAAAAAAAAGAAGGTAAAGGCAAATTTGTCCTTGTTTTCTAGTGTTACATCTTCACCAAAATTATGACTCTTAAATCGCTAAAAAACAAATTGGATTTTTTGAAACAAGAATATGAAGGAGATGACAAAATAAGAAGCATGCAAGTGTTGAACCTAAGAAGGGAATTTGAGTTGCAAAGGAGGAAAGAGTCAGAGACAATCAAGGAGTACTCAAACATGTTATTGGGCATTACGAACAAAATAAAGTTGTTGGGCAGCGACTTTGCAGACTCCAGAATTGTCGAGAAAATCCTTGTAACACTGCCAGAAAGGTACGAAGCGTCTATTGCCTCATTGGAGAACACAAAGAATCTAACCAAAATTACTTTAGCAGATGTGTTACACGCTTTGCAAGCCCAAGAACAACAAAAGCTAATGAGAGAAGATCGTATAGTTGAAGGTGCACTCCCTATCAAGTATCATGATGTCGGAACCAATAAAAAGAAAATTTTCAAAAGGTTCCAACCAGCAAGCAGTGAAAATAGTGTATTTAATCAAAAGCAAGGTAAGGGTAAAAAGAAAAATTATCCACCTTGTCAACATTGCGGAAAAATGAAGATCAACTCGTTGCTGCTACATGTTTCTCCAGTAGCAGTTCAAATGAATCTTGGTTGATTGATAGTAGTTGCACAAATTACATGACCTATGACAAAGAATTGTTCAAGTGTTTGTACATGACTGAAGTCAAATGGGTCAGAATTGGAAACGATGAATAATTTCCAGTAAAAGGTAAAGGTTCAATAGTTATAACAACTCATACAGGTACAAAAACCCTTCCTGATGTCTTATATGTACCTAAAATTAATCAAAACTTGCTTAGTGTTGGATAGTTACTAAAGAAAGGGTTCAAAGTTATCTTTGAAGATAAAGTCTGCACAATTAAATATCCAACAAGCCTTGAAATGTTTAAAGTCAAGATGAGGAGCAAGAGTTTCTCATTTAATCTAATGAAGGAGGAGCAGATTGCATTTCTAGTAACAGCAAGCTCAGTCAATCTTTGGCACAAAAGGTTGGGTCATTTCCATCATTTGGGAATGAACTACATGCTGAAAAATCAATTAGTTTGTGGAGTTCCTTCCTTAACAGAGAAACCAACTGAATGTGAAGCTTGTAGATTCGAGAAGCAAACAAGGAAACCATTTCCTAAAAGTAGTTGGAGGGCTGGTAAAAAATTGTAGCTAGTTCACACTAATGTTGCTAGACCACAAAGAACTTCATCCATAAAAGGAGGTCTTTATTATATTATTTTTATTGATCACCTAACAAGAATCTGCTGGATTTTCTTTCTTAAATAAAAATCAGAAGTAGTTGTAGTGTTCTGGAAATTCAAAGCATTTGTTGAAAATCAAAGCAATTTCCATATTCAGATCTTGAGGTCGGACAATGGAAAAGAGTATATAGCAAATCAATTTCAACAATTTTGTGATGAAGTTGGGATTGAGCATAAATTAACGGCACCTTACACTCCTTAACAAAATGGAGTGAGTGAAAGGAAAAATAGATCAATCATGGAGATGGCCAGGTGCATGCTTCATCATAAGGAATTACTAAAGAAGTTTTGGGCCGAAGCTGCAAATACAACCATGTTCATACAGAATAGGCTTCCAACATGAGCCACGCAAAATCAAACTTTTTTCAAGCCTGGTTTGGTTTTAAACCTTCTTTGGACTTTCTTAAAGTATTTGGTTGCTTGTGTTACTCACATATACCTCAGATTAAACGTAATAAACTTGATAAAAGGGCTGAAGCAGGATTATTTATTGGCTACAACACAATTTCTAAAGCTTATAGGATTTTTCAACCTTAAATTGGAAAATTTCTAATAAACAGAGATGTGCATTTCATGGAAGATGAAAACTGGTGCTGGAGTGATTTAAAAAAAAGTCAAAACACTGAATTGGAGGTTGAAGACACTGTAGATGATCCACCTGTTAGAGGAACAAGGTTACTCTCTGATATCTATCAAAAAAGCAATGTATCATTATGCAATATAACTATTTGTGAACCTGTCAGTTTTGAAGAAGCTGCTATGGAGGAGAAATGGTTAGCTGCAATGTAGGAGGAGTTGTCCATGATTGAGAAAAATCAAACCTAGGAGACTATTATTATATTGATTACTGATAATCGATTATTATATTGATAATCAATTATCTTGAGTATAAAATGAGGTTTTCTGATTCAAAATAAATTTTAACTCAACCTAAGGCAAACAATACATAGAATCAAATATAAATCACATCTTATACATAAATCTACTAAACTATAAAAGCTTTGATATAAAAACAAATCTTGATGAAGATCTTCCTGCAATAAGAGCACTTGAGACTAGACTTTGAGACATCATCAAAATTTCCGCTCTTTAGCTTTATGCTGACATTTTTAGATACTTTTGGTCAAATAGCAAGACATGATACAATTAGGCTACTACTTGCCATTATAGCACAAAAGGGGTGGCAAGTGTTTCATATGGATGTTAAGTCACCTTTCCTTAATGGTTTTTTGCAAGAGGAGATTTATGTTGAACAACTAGATGGTTTTGTTATCAAAGATCACGAAAATAAAGTCTACTTGTTGAAAAAGGCTTTATATGGTTTAAAGCAAGCCCCAAGAGTGTGGTACAGCAGAATTAATGATCATTTACTACACTTGGGCTTTCAAAAGAGTGTATTTGAAACTACACTTTATGTCAAACATGATGGTGTTGATACTTTAATTATTGGGCTAAATATGTTTTTAGTCCCTCAACTATCATGCGATTTTAGATTTAGTCCCTCTTTCAAACTTTGATACACTTTCATCCTTGTCCTTAAGAAAACTGTAATATTTCGTCCTCCAAAACCAACGCCGTTAAATTTTCAGTGAGCTGGCTAACGGTATGCTATATTTCATGCCACGTTAGAAATTGAAAATATGAAATTTGAGTGAAAATGCTTTGGACTTTTTGTCTTCATCCTTACCATGGATCATTCTCCCTTTGTGCGTCGCATATGGCCCTCCTCCCTCTCTTAGCCTCAGCCTCCACTCTCGAAATCACCACCTCTGCACAAACATTCCACCTCGACCTCGCCGTCCTCCGTCATCGTCTCTCCAGAAAGCCTTTCATCCATCCTCGTCCTCTCCGTCTACAACGGCCCATTGGGTCGTTCCTTGGTGAGCCAACCTGTTGCTCAGGTTCATCTCACTTTTAATCTCTCCACTGCCCTCTCGCACTCAAATACTTTCCACAACTTCACCTCATAGTTCGGTCTGAACTGAATCCCTAGTTCATCTTTGAATTATGCAGATGAAACCAACCCTAATATGAGTTTCCATTGAAAAATAGGAATCTTTGAATTGATGCATGCTTTCAAGAAAGTTGAATCCCTGAACTTTTAGAATCTTGTGATTCTAAAACAAGCTTATATAACTTTATTTGTCAAATGCCGAAATTGCAAATTTTGAGATCGCAAGATTCATATCTCAAGCAACAGAGCATATCTCTTTACTGCTTACTTAAAATGGATAATTCAAGAGGGTGCTTTTTCAATTTACTGGAGATGCTCACTTGGGTTCGTTTTTAGCATGTTCAGAGTTGGATTGAATCCAAGTCTTGAATGCTATGAGCTATATGCATACGAGACAATTGGACACCCAATTAGTTATTTTATGGGCAATCAACTTCTTCAACATTCTTTGATTTCAACAAAACTCTATAATACATGTGTTTATTTAAGAGGAGTGGAAGGGGGAATTTTCATCTAATTCAACACTTAACTTGGTGATTGATGCATTTTCCGGTTGTCTCAAAGTGACCCATTATACTTCGAACTTGGAACGATTAATAGAGATGTGCTCGCTTGATATTTTCACCTACAATTTGTTGTTGAAAGAATTATCCAAGAGTGATATGGACAAAGCTCGTTTATTGTTTGGTCAGATATGTCAAAAGGGTTATGAACCTATGTTTGGACATATCATATCATGGTACGTGGTTTCTTAAATCATGGAAGGAAAGATAAGGCTAAGCAATGGAATAAAGAAATGCTCCAACCAGGATTTTCTAGATTTGAATATAGAATCTAATATTGTGATTTTTAAGCATTTACTGGAAAATGGGCTGCATAGGTTTTACATTTTCTGTCAAATTGTTATTCTTAAACAATCCTTGTTTCTTTTATTTTCCCTCCCCCTTTCTCAGTTTTTCCATTTTCCGGAGCTAATAGACTTCGTGTTCTAAATTTGGCTTTTGCAGATTGAGTTGGCACCATGTAGCTTAGAAATGCAAAAGAGCTGGCAAGGCTCTAGTCGTCTCTCACTGATGAACCTGCGATCGAGTGCCTCGGAAACCGATCTGACTGGACACTCACCAAGCTTTTAGAGTCCCCGTCTGTAATCCAGCTACCCCTTAGACTTGCCTTCTTTGATTTCTTAACAAATACCGAAATTTAGACTCAAATCTTAGTGAGCTAGGATTTTGGCTGGCTGTTGGGGAATGTTTTCCAGAATTAAGCTAGAAACGAGCAAATAACTTGTTGATTTCTCCATCAGTAATGTTGCAACTTGAGCTTTTCACGGATCCATGACCATTTAACTCTTTATCCACATGACTACGGTTCTCTAATTGTCGAGTTGTCATCCACCTCAGCCTCCACCAAACCAAACATGGTGGCATACCTCCGCCAAACCCAAGGCGTCACTGACGACATCGCATGTCGTTAGGGTCAACCCTTCACAGCGACTCAACCTCTCAACCGCAATGTGAAAAGATAGAGGTCCATAGCTATTCAAAGACCCTTCATCTACACCATCAACAACAAATTTCACTGTAGGAGATGTTCCAAACGCCTTTTCATCCAATCTTTAGTCATAAACATTAATTCTCCTTTTTTAAGGTTCAATTGTAAAATTGAAATTGAAATTGATGATTGCGATGAGAAGGAAGATGCATGATGTGGAGGTTTTTGAAAATTGGGGTTTAAGGTTGTTTCTAGGTTCTTATTTGGGTCTCTATGGTGGTGAAGGAAGATGAACTGATGCACGATGAATGTTTCTGGACATTGATTTGGCTTCGCGATGGTGGTTTAGGTTTACAAGTTTGCTTCGCCATGGCAGCACGATGCAATGGCCAAGATGAAAATGATGATGGTGGAAGGTGGTGGCTTAATGGTGTTATGTGGTGGTGGTTGTGAAAAGAATGAGAGTTTTTAAGTGTATAATGTTGTTATCAAACGTGGCACAAACGTAGTCAAGTCAGTTGACATCATATGTGGTACAACGTTAGCCACATCTGATTAAATTTAACTAGTTGATTTTCGTGGACTACAAATTATAGTTTCTTAAGGTGAAGGATCAAAGTGTACTAAAGTTTGAAAGAGAGACAAAATCTAAAATCGCATGATAGTTGAGGGACTAAAAACATATTTAACCCTTAATTATTTCATTATATGTTGATGATCTCTTGATGACAGGAAGCAACCTAACACTAATTGAGGAATTCAAGCAAGAAATGAAAAAGGTCTTTGAGATGACAAATCTTAGTCTTATGACTTATTTTCTGGGCATGGAGATCACTCAAAAGAAGAATGAGATTTTTATTTGCTAGAAAAAATATGCAAAGGAGATTCTAAAGAAATTTCACCTTGGTGAATGCAAACCAATGAACACTCCAATGAATAAAAAAGAGAAGAATATCAAGGAGGATGGAATTGATAAAGTTGATGAAGCTTGTTTTAGAAGTTTGATTGGGTGTCTAATGTATCTTACATCCACAAGGCCTGACATCTTAATCCCAATTAGCTTGTTGTTAAGATTTATGAATTGTGCTAATGAGCTGCACTTGAAGACAACAAAGAGAGTTGAAAGATACATCAAAGGAATTGTCAATTTTGGAGTTAAGTACTACAAGGCACAAAACTTTAAATTATTTGGTTTCCTTGACAATGATTGGGCTCGTAGCTTGGATGATATGAAGAGTACTTCAGGGTATTGTTTTAGTATGGGTTCAAGTGTTTTCTCTTGGTTCTCTAAGAAGCAAGAGTTTGTAGCTCAGTCAACTGCAGAAGCTGAGTTCATTTCAGTTGTAGTAGTTGTGAATCAAGTTGATTGGTTGAGGAATATTTTAATAGATTTGTGTATGAAGCAAGATAAATGCACAAAAGTTTTTGTTGATAATCAAGCAACAATTTCAATCTCACATAATCCTGTATTTCATGGGAAGACCCAACATTTTAATGTGAAGTTGTTTCACTTAAGAGAAGTTCAAGAAAGTGGAAAGACATATTTAGTTTACTGTTGCATGGAAGACCAAGCTGCTAACATATTTACCAATATCTTTTTCACTCTATAGGTTCGAATTCCTAAGTAATAAATTAGGAATAAGGAGGAGTGTTGAGAATTGCCTTGTTAGTTGCATTGATTTTAGGAAGAGTTCAAATTTATTTTTTTAATTAGTCAAGGGTTGTTATTAAGGATGACAACGGGTCGGGTCGGGTCGGGCACGGATAGTGCCTATCCGCAACCCGAACTGCATGCAAAAAATCGTACCCGCAACCCGACCCGCTACGCGCTACCCGTTGGATATTTGCATAAAAATAATCCGCAGATTTTTTTAATTTTGTTGGATACCCATTTTCAACCCACAAATATTTAAAAAATATATTTTGTGAATTTTTAAATAAGGTTTAAATTAAATTCCAAGTTAAAGAGAAAATTTTAATATATTTGCTACATATTAAAAAGACAATATATTTTTTAAACAAGTTAAAGAAAACAAATATTGAACAACTTTTGAAAAAAAAAGATATGAGAAGAAACACCCAATAACTGAAGTCTCAATTTATTCACAGGATTAACCCACAAATACCTATCAATGTATGAAACAGAGAGATAAAGAATTTCAAAGAGAACACAAACAGGAACCCTAAACCCAAATTCTGAAAACAAACGCAATTACAAAAATTTCTAAACCATGATAACCACCAAGGTCTTCAAAAATCCAATTTGCATTAATAAACTAAAATTCAAAAACACTCAAAACACTCATTCGAATTATAACCCCAAAATCGCATCACCAATCAACAGAGAAGAAATCAAGAAACGAACTCCCAAAACGCGAATCAAAACGTACAAAAGAAACTCCCAAAATCAAAAAACAAATAAAATCCTAATTTCAAATCCCAAATCGGAACAAAACCCCAATTAGAACCAAGAGAGAGAGGAAGAGGGAATAAAGCCTACTCCCTAAGCAAGCAGAAGGAAGAAGAAGAGAGTCATCCCTATTAGGGTTAGCTCAAAAGTAATGTAACTCTTTTTTTTTTCTTCTTTTAGAAAAAGCTAATTGAAAGGAATCCTAAGTCATTGTTATTAAAATTTCCCCTTTTTAAGAGTAATAAAAAAATTAATTTTAAAAACTATTAATTAATTTTTTTTTTCGGGTAACAGGTATCCGTGGGTTGGATAGTATAATATTCATATCCGACTCATTTAGAAGCGGGTATTAAAATACTCGTTACCCGTAGGTAATAATTATCTGCAGACAGTAACTATGCGTCGCGAGTTTTATCTGCGGATATTTAAATTTTTTTGTTATCCTTAGTTGTTATTGGGTTAGTTATTTCCTATTTTTCAAGTAAGTCATTAGTAATGATGGCTAGAATAATGAGATATGATCTTTTAATTAATTATTTCCAAATGTATTTAAATTAAGTTGTATTTAATAAGAAAATAAGCACCTCAACATTCATCTATTTTTATTCTCTAAAAACCAACCATACCTGTAAAGGTTCCAGAATGGCGCTGTTTTCAAAATTTTGAAAACTGATGAATTTTATTATTTTATTTTAAAATAAAAATAAATTTCAATTAAGCTGCGACAGTTTTTTTTTTTTATCAGGTAAAATATTTTTCTAACTGAATCTTTAAAATTGTCTTTATTTTTTAATTAAGTATTAATTGTCTGAAATTTTCGTTATAAAAAGCTAACTACAAATGTATGTAAATATGATAATGAAGATTCTACATTTTAAGGATCATCATTTTGAACTCGTTATTCTCAATCAAAAGTATATCTTTTTAAGGATCATGAATAAGTTGATTAGTGAATTGATAATAGAAAATGTAGTTATACAATAAAATTTACCTTTATTCTGTTTTAAGAATGCCTCAATGGGTGGTGGTGCCAGGGCTCGTTGACTTTGTAAGAACGTCGACGTGCTTTCATTTGCCATTCGAATATCCACTCTCGCCGCAAACTCTTCGCATACTATAATAATTATCACATAAAACTGTAAAGATCAGACAAATTATTTAACTAGTAATTTGTTTTTTAATTTATGAAAGATTATTTTTTTAGATTTTANATAGAGGTCCATAGCTATTCAAAGACCCTTCATCTACACCATCAACAACAAATTTCACTGTAGGAGATGTTCCAAACGCCTTTTCATCCAATCTTTAGTCATAAACATTAATTCTCCTTTTTTAAGGTTCAATTGTAAAATTGAAATTGAAATTGATGATTGCGATGAGAAGGAAGATGCATGATGTGGAGGTTTTTGAAAATTGGGGTTTAAGGTTGTTTCTAGGTTCTTATTTGGGTCTCTATGGTGGTGAAGGAAGATGAACTGATGCACGATGAATGTTTCTGGACATTGATTTGGCTTCGCGATGGTGGTTTAGGTTTACAAGTTTGCTTCGCCATGGCAGCACGATGCAATGGCCAAGATGAAAATGATGATGGTGGAAGGTGGTGGCTTAATGGTGTTATGTGGTGGTGGTTGTGAAAAGAATGAGAGTTTTTAAGTGTATAATGTTGTTATCAAACGTGGCACAAACGTAGTCAAGTCAGTTGACATCATATGTGGTACAACGTTAGCCACATCTGATTAAATTTAACTAGTTGATTTTCGTGGACTACAAATTATAGTTTCTTAAGGTGAAGGATCAAAGTGTACTAAAGTTTGAAAGAGAGACAAAATCTAAAATCACATGATAGTTGAGGGACTAAAAACATATTTAACCCTTAATTATTTCATTATATGTTGATGATCTCTTGATGACAGGAAGCAACCTAACACTAATTGAGGAATTCAAGCAAGAAATGAAAAAGGTCTTTGAGATGACAAATCTTAGTCTTATGACTTATTTTCTGGGCATGGAGATCACTCAAAAGAAGAATGAGATTTTTATTTGCTAGAAAAAATATGCAAAGGAGATTCTAAAGAAATTTCACCTTGGTGAATGCAAACCAATGAACACTCCAATGAATAAAAAAGAGAAGAATATCAAGGAGGATGGAATTGATAAAGTTGATGAAGCTTGTTTTAGAAGTTTGATTGGGTGTCTAATGTATCTTACATCCACAAGGCCTGACATCTTAATCCCAATTAGCTTGTTGTTAAGATTTATGAATTGTGCTAATGAGCTGCACTTGAAGACAACAAAGAGAGTTGAAAGATACATCAAAGGAATTGTCAATTTTGGAGTTAAGTACTACAAGGCACAAAACTTTAAATTATTTGGTTTCCTTGACAATGATTGGGCTCGTAGCTTGGATGATATGAAGAGTACTTCAGGGTATTGTTTTAGTATGGGTTCAAGTGTTTTCTCTTGGTTCTCTAAGAAGCAAGAGTTTGTAGCTCAGTCAACTGCAGAAGCTGAGTTCATTTCAGTTGTAGTAGTTGTGAATCAAGTTGATTGGTTGAGGAATATTTTAATAGATTTGTGTATGAAGCAAGATAAATGCACAAAAGTTTTTGTTGATAATCAAGCAACAATTTCAATCTCACATAATCCTGTATTTCATGGGAAGACCCAACATTTTAATGTGAAGTTGTTTCACTTAAGAGAAGTTCAAGAAAGGGGAAAGGCATGTTTAGTTTACTGTTGCACGGAAAACCAAGCTGCTAACATATTTACCAATATCTTTTTCACTCTATAGGTTCGAATTCCTAAGTAATAAATTAGGAATAAGGAGGAGTGTTGAGAATTGCCTTGTTAGTTGCATTGATTTTAGGAAGAGTTCAAATTTATTTTTTTAATTAGTCAAGGGTTGTTATTAAGGATGACAACGGGTCGGGTCGGGTCGGGCACGGATAGTGCCTATCCGCAACCCGAACTGCATGCAAAAAATCGTACCCGCAACCCGACCCGCTACGCGCTACCCGTTGGATATTTGCATAAAAATAATCCGCAGATTTTTTTAATTTTGTTGGATACCCATTTTCAACCCACAAATATTTAAAAAATATATTTTGTGAATTTTTAAATAAGGTTTAAATTAAATTCCAAGTTAAAGAGAAAATTTTAATATATTTGCTACATATTAAAAAGACAATATATTTTTTAAACAAGTTAAAGAAAACAAATATTGAACAACTTTTGAAAAAAAAAGATATGAGAAGAAACACCAAATAACTGAAGTCTCAATTTATTCACAGGATTAACCCACAAATACCTATCAATGTATGAAACAGAGAGATAAAGAATTTCAAAGAGAACACAAACAGGAACCCTAAACCCAAATTCTGAAAACAAACGCAATTACAAAAATTTCTAAACCATGATAACCACCAAGGTCTTCAAAAATCCAATTTGCATTAATAAACTAAAATTCAAAAACACTCAAAACACTCATTCGAATTATAACCCCAAAATCGCATCACCAATCAACAGAGAAGAAATCAAGAAACGAACTCCCAAAACGCGAATCAAAACGTACAAAAGAAACTCCCAAAATCAAAAAACAAATAAAATCCTAATTTCAAATCCCAAATCGGAACAAAACCCCAATTAGAACCAAGAGAGAGAGGAAGAGGGAATAAAGCCTACTCCCTAAGCAAGCAGAAGGAAGAAGAAGAGAGTCATCCCTATTAGGGTTAGCTCAAAAGTAATGTAACTCTTTTTTTTTTCTTCTTTTAGAAAAAGCTAATTGAAAGGAATCCTAAGTCATTGTTATTAAAATTTCCCCTTTTTAAGAGTAATAAAAAAATTAATTTTAAAAACTATTAATTAATTTTTTTTTTCGGGTAACAGGTATCCGTGGGTTGGATAGTATAATATTCATATCCGACTCATTTAGAAGCGGGTATTAAAATACTCGTTACCCGTAGGTAATAATTATCTGCAGACAGTAACTATGCGTCGCGAGTTTTATCTGCGGATATTTAAATTTTTTTGTTATCCTTAGTTGTTATTGGGTTAGTTATTTCCTATTTTTCAAGTAAGTCATTAGTAATGATGGCTAGAATAATGAGATATGATCTTTTAATTAATTATTTCCAAATGTATTTAAATTAAGTTGTATTTAATAAGAAAATAAGCACCTCAACATTCATCTATTTTTATTCTCTAAAAACCAACCATACCTGTAAAGGTTCCAGAATGGCGCTGTTTTCAAAATTTTGAAAACTGATGAATTTTATTATTTTATTTTAAAATAAAAATAAATTTCAATTAAGCTGCGACAGTTTTTTTTTTTTTATCAGGTAAAATATTTTTCTAACTGAATCTTTAAAATTGTCTTTATTTTTTAATTAAGTATTAATTGTCTGAAATTTTCGTTATAAAAAGCTAACTACAAATGTATGTAAATATGATAATGAAGATTCTACATTTTAAGGATCATCATTTTGAACTCGTTATTCTCAATCAAAAGTATATCTTTTTAAGGATCATGAATAAGTTGATTAGTGAATTGATAATAGAAAATGTAGTTATACAATAAAATTTACCTTTATTCTGTTTTAAGAATGCCTCAATGGGTGGTGGTGCCAGGGCTCGTTGACTTTGTAAGAACGTCGACGTGCTTTCATTTGCCATTCGAATATCCACTCTCGCCGCAAACTCTTCGCATACTATAATAATTATCACATAAAACTGTAAAGATCAGACAAATTATTTAACTAGTAATTTGTTTTTTAATTTATGAAAGATTATTTTTTTAGATTTTAAATAAATTGTATGTATTAAATTCACATTGTAGATTATGCTATCTCGTAAAGCTATTAGAAACGTATTTACATTTCAATATTTTACAACTTAAGAAAACTCACTCGAACAATTTTTGGAGATGCATTAAAGACATTTGTATATTAATCGGATGGAAAGAGAAGAGGTTGGACATGATTTGAGAAATATTTATCCAAAACACAATTATGAAATAAAATATTAATTGAAAAAATTGAAAAGGCCTAACTTATTAGTAATTAGCAATTAATTATTCAGTAGTACAGTCCTCGTTCTCGGACCAAATGATTGTGAAATTAAAGAAAAAAAAAAGCGGAAATTCAAGTGTATGTAGCAACTTTTATACCTGTGTAACGAGGAATTACTCTGGTCAATAAATCATCAGCAATTTCTTTCTCCATTGCTAATTGCAAAACTGATTTGCCACTAAGGTTTCTACTAGTAAGCACCATTTCCTGAACCAATTGCTTGAAGCCTGGTGAAGAATCTAAAATCTTCATTACAGCTTTGTGACCATTCAATAAGGCCTCATGAAAGAAAGTATTTCCTTGTCTGTTAGTTACAAGGATTGCCTCTTTTGCTTGTTCATAATTTGGATCTAAATGTAGAAGTGCAGCCACCAATTTCCGGAGAGTAGAGATTTTGCCAGCTCTTGCAGCAACATGCAGTGGTGTATCACCACTGGTATTTATTGTTAGCAAAAGGTGTGGACCAATTTGAAGTACCTTTTCCACACAGTTATCATTTCCATAGAGAGCTGCTATATGCAGCAACGTGTTTCCTCTAGGCCTCTCTTGCTTTATAGTGTCATCGTCTATTTCGCTCCAATCGGATTCAGGCTTGTTCTCTTTTATTGAATCGTATGTTCTCTTCGGCAACAAAGACCAACCATGTGGATTAACTTCAGTGCTGATTAGATCTTCTGAGTTTTGAACTGTGTATTCTTCAGTCACACTCCTTGAAGGCTGTTCTCCTCCGTTGTTGGAGTTATTTTCAATGTCATTATTATTCCTACTGCTGATAAAATTCATCATGCTCTTTTTCTTCAACAATATAAGATCTGTTCCTGGCCTTTCTGCTCTGCTTCCACCTGCTTTTTCTGTCTAAAAATACCAAACTATACACACATATCAATCTATCCATTTTAAAAAGTAATAAAATTAAATAAATGATAACACATTAAAAATTAAATACAAATTCTAGAACAATATAAAAACACAAAAAATAAAAGTACTGAAATGCAAAATAAATTTTAAAATAATATAAAAAATTCATAACATTTTATAGATAAAAATTGAAGTTTTAATATTTTCTAAAATAATTACGTAAGAGAAATAAAATTTATAAATATCCATGTTCACTAGAATTTAATAAATGACAACAACTAATATAATGACAAAATATATTATTTTCAAATATTACTTTCACATTTTACTATTTTTAAAATTTTTCTATCCCCTTATCTTACAACCTATCAATAAACTAAGAAACAATATTCTTACAGCATGTCAACTACCTTCAACTCTTCGTATGTTCCCTCCTTTCAAAAGTTCAGTAGCTTCTATATATAGAATCCACCATCATAATGCAGTGGTATTAGCTCTCTCAGAATTATTTCTCATTAATGCTATCTCTCCAACTCACATGTCAGTTAAAGACAATGTTATAAATGCTATCCACGCTGCTGTCCTATCATTTATTCAACATTAATTGCACGTTTTCCACATTTTCTTTTAGAAACGCAATAAATGAGTAAATATTTTTAAAAAATTAAAATTAATTAAAGGACTTATTAATAATATTTTAATATCTTTTTTATGTAATAATTATTAATTTTATTAATTTAATTTATGTAATTTTTTAAATAATTTTGAAATAATTTAGGCTAATATTTGAAATTGAAGAAGAGAAGAATAAATAATTTCTAATTAATATGTATTGCTACAGATTAAATACAAATAAAATTACATAAAATGTTTTTGATAGGAAGCATGTCGTCTACAATAACAATATATATGAATGATTGATATGGAAAACAATTAAATTTTGCCCAATATTTTTTCAAGAAGTAGTATTTCTTAAAAGTTTTTGTGCCATGAATTAAGACTTCAACACGTGATTTACCTCAAGATAAGTTTAATTAAATTATGTAAACATATGTGTTGAGTTTTCTTAAATAAGTTTCTTTCTTATTTTTTTTTCTTAATTAGGTTCCTAAAAGTGAAAAATTTAAGTAATTGGGTCACTTCATTAAATTGGGTTAATGAAGTTAAATTTAAAGTGAGTTATCAGTAGGCTAGAATAATTAGATTATGTGACATATGTAGAGCCTCTTAGGTAGAAACTTGTAATTAAAAAATTAAAACAAAAGGGTTTCTGAAATATGAAATTAAGCATCACTAAATTAGGGTTCATCAAAAAACAAATTGCGAATAAGAGTGTTCGAGATTAGAGACGCAACAAATCACAGAGTGTATAATGGTCATTACTGGAGAGGGTTTTTGCACAATTAGGGCATTGGAATCCAACATTTGGTCGTTGGAATCACGAGCTTGGAGGTGAAGCGCAAAGTAGTTGGAGGAGAATTGCATTCAAGGTTAGCATATGTGATAAGTGTGAAAAAAACAGATGTTTTGACACTTATAAAGGATCTCAATTTTGTAATTATTCATGTTATTACTCAGTGAAAAGTCGTAATAGGAAGTAGATTGTGTTGTAAATTATTGTTCAAGAAAAGTTGAACAAAAAAGAATATGTAAGCCAATTCTCGCATAGCAGAAGCAAAATTCGCAGAGCTAGGAGAATACATTCGCACAGCGCACCACCATTGGTTCGCTGAGCGAATCATGCCAGTTTGGAGATTGCAAGTCTTGAATTCGCACAGCGCACCAGAGGCTGTGCGCTTAGCGAATGTGTGCAGTTGAGTGTTGAATTAATTTTTATTCGCACAGCGAATCTGCTTCTGTGCGCTGAGAGAATGGAGCAGTTTTATGAGAAATAAACTGTCTCTTAAAAGACGTGCTTTGAAGGATAGAGGGGGATGAGACTGGAAAATAGAATTTGGAGAACTGCTCTGGAGACCATTAGGAGACCTCTCTGAAGACATCAAGACTGCACATCATGCAAGGAATTGCAGAAATGAGTATGTTTGTGATGTCTAGGATAGGCTAAACTTTTATTCGTTGGAATTGACTGTAATGGCTGACATTTGATGTAATCTTTCCTGTTCAATATAAATTGTGTTCATATGCTTTTCTTGTTTACTTTTTATTTTATTTTACGGAAGTAAAATAAACTTGTTTTTATATTTAAATTGTACTGGGAAGTAAATTTGAGTATTAACGCAAGAAAAGCAACCAGAAGGAAAGATGCTAGGAATAGTTTCAATTCTCCTGGTCATCAATAACATCGTTCTTAATGCAAAGTTTATGTTTAATTACTTAAGGAATTAATAATTGAACATAATTCTTTAGAACTTGTTTTAAGGAATTAAACCAAGATACTGTGATGTTGATGTTTGAACGCAAGTTATATTGCTCAGAATAGTTACTGTAATGTGGTCATGAAGTCAATTCCAATGAAGCTTTCTTTAAATTTTAATTTCAATTTTAAATTGTCATCTAGTTTGAGACTATTAATTCACTTATATTTTGTTGTTCAAATTGATTTTGATAAATAAATTTTAATTGAATAACGTAACACAAATTCCCTGAGGAGAACGATACTTTACTTATCACTGTATTACTTGTAACGATTTGGTATACTTGCCAAAAAGTTATCAATATGTAGTATTTGTGGTTTGAATTTATTATTGGGTGTTTATTTTGTAGTGATCTGCGAATGATTTTTCAAAAGTGGGGTTGGGGTTGTGATAGAGGTCTGTCTCCTTAGAGATATATGAGAAAATTTTGAAGAAGAACATTTACAATTCAAATGATCTATGACAAGGTCAAAGATCAAAACATGTCTCTTTGAATCTTATAATCTTCCATGAAGAGAAAAATTAAAAGAACGTGAAGATCATAAGCACAATTGAAGAATAATTTAGAAAATTAAATCAATTGTATTTTTTATTTTAATTACAAACAATTTGTTTCTATTTTTCAAGTTATTTTTGAACTCAATGTCCTTGGGTTTTCTTTTAGGGTTTCTTAGGTGCCTCAAACATTTGTACCTATACACAGAGACATCGAATACATATGTAGCCACTTTTTAGTCATAATATATGCATTTGCATTTTTTAGAGGGGATTCTCTTGATTCTTAGTTTAGAACTCTCATACTTATCAAATATTAACATCTTTGTGGCAAACCTTCCTTGAGTTTTTAATTTTCGTTTTTTTATGTTGTTCTTTTAATTTGTGTATTTCTACATTTGATTTGTGAAAATTATCTATTTTTCTTTTTTGTGTTTTTTTGTTAATTGTAGTCCCAATTAAATCATTACCTTTTTAATCTTGCATAAGTTTTGGTGTTTGAAAGATGTATTGAACTTCCAAATTAATATATATATATATATATATATATACAAAAAAAATCATCACCAATAGCCTTTACAAAGCAACATAAAACATAGTAAAACAACAAACACCTCAATCCTGTAATCAACAACAATAATAACACAAATAGAAAACATTATTCATGACTTTATGGTTCTAGGCACCTGAATACTAACGAAGACTCCTTTTTTCACCCAAAAACGTGAACATATTCAGAAAAGGAAAGGAATCACCTTTACTCCTTCATCAAGAGCACGAGAGAAGGGGAATGCGAATGTGCTAGTCAAGAAACGATGTAGGTGACGGTGGAGGTGACTGTCAACGTCACAAGGGGTGAGAAGTGAAGGACAAATGGCGAGAGTGAGAGTGGACAAAAATAAAAAGTTTTCAATAGGAGAAGAAGAAAGGACGAGACAGAGAAGAGAGAAAATCGATGGAAGTTAACGATGGAGGTTGTCGTCAGTAAGAAAGAAAGACAAAGGGAGAGAGCAACCAAAGATGGTGAGAGAGAGAAAAAAAAATGTACCCAAAGAGAAAACAAATAATCTGAAAATTGATTTTTGGAGAAAACCGTGTGAAATGTTCTTTCCTTCCCAAATTGCCCTCCACATCACAATTTCAGTTTTTGTAAAATTTATTTAAAGTGCACCAATCAAACGCTAAACGACGTTGTTAAAAAGTTATGGTCATTTAGTTGTTAAAGAAATGTTTTCCACGCATTATTGGTCTCCTTACACAACATCAAATTTCATACTTCATACTTGATCCCCTCGTAACGCATGAGAAGACCAATCACTATTTATATCCATGATGAAATGCATGATTGAATTCCAAATAAGAAGAAAAAAAATGTTCTAGGACAAATTATCCATGTCAAAATTAAAGTTTAATTTCATTTTTTGTTGTTAAGTTTATTATTCTTTTATTTTTCACTAACAATTATAGCTATATTTTAACAATCCTCCAATTTAAAACTAATTCATAAAATAACTTATCTCATAAAAAACTCTATAGTTACATTATATTATTTTTATACTTAAAAAAAGCTTAATTTATAAATACAATCAATAATAACATACCAATAAATATAAAAAACTTAAAAACTAAACATTTAAATTATCACGATATCTTTGAATATAATAATTGTATTAATTTTAATGTTTTTAAGTCAAAAAAAGTTTACAACTTATTATTATTATTATTATTATTATTATTATTATATATATATATAACACAATTGAGTCTGTTTTTTTTTCTTAGAATGACTTTATGCAATTAATAATAGTAATTAATTTATGTTTTATACGGAAAACTATCTATTACCACAAAATTATCATACTATGCAAAATAAAGGCGAAAATTCAAAATGCGTTTCATCATATTATAAAACTGGTGTCTGGAGACGCTTTTGCAGTGCACGACTTCAATTATTGTTAATTAAAATCTCGATTCAGACGCGACTTCATCATTCCCACATAAGTCGCTTCCTTCAAGAACGACTTTATTTAAAAAAATTTGAAGACGTCGTCCTCT